TGAGCTTACCTGGGCCTTCACAGCACCATGCGACAATATGCATAATTATGATAATGCATATACTAAAATAAAATATAGGCATTGGCATAGCATGGCATTTAAATCACATTTCCTTTAAATACTTTTTCTGGGAAAAACGTCAGGTGTGTGTATATATATATACTGAAAATAACTGCCCACTCACTGAAATGAAGCCGGGTCGTAACCCCCATGCCTAGCCTGGCTACGCTCGTCCTTCAGATAGGTCTCGCCTATAGGAGAAGCAATTATATAAACGTCACTTTAATGCACATATACCAAACTATGTAATAACTTTTCATACATATCTCAAATTGGGTATATGAATATACCAAAATGACTTACACAATCTCAGGATCGTCCCCATATTTTTAAAATAATTTTTCATCCACCCACGCGCCGCCACGCACCAACGAGTGCACGGCAAGACGCGCGGCCACGCGCAGGGTACTCTGACGGAAACTGTAACGACAATTAGGGAATATTCCGTTAAATCCTAACAGATTCCGTTAAACTTAACTGAGGGTGTTAGAATATTCCGTCAGAATTGACGGAATATTCCGTCGTCTTCAACCTCAGACTCCAGCGACCGTCACTGTCACCGGAAAACTGGGAATTTTTCAAATCCTTATATCTTCGTCGTTTCTCAACCAAATTTAATGAAATTTGTACCCAAACGAAGCTTACAACATTTAGAATAAAATCATACCAATTTCAAGCTCCCAAAACCATTGGATCTCGCCTAAGAATCCCCGAACTTCTGGCCAAAACTTTAAACTTGCATATCTCGATATCCCGACGTCCAAAAACCTCCAACAAAGTACTCCGAGCCTCATAAGGATCTTCTTAAGCTCTCTGTGAGCTTGAAATTTCCAAAAACACAAGATTTAACGTTTGCATGAACAGTGTTCAAATCGGAGATAGGGTTTCCACGTGAAATCGAAGGTTTCCTTACCTAAAAATGGTACCTTTGAACTCGTATGGTCCTCACGAACACAATGGTTCCCTTCTCCACCTCGATCCATCACGTTTACAAGGGTTTTAGGTCTCGTTCGTACAAGAGAGAGTGTGTGTGAATCTGAGAGAGAGTACGGGAGGGTGAGAGAGAGAGAGAGAGAGAAAGTGGGGTGTAATGTGTGTGGTCCAAAAGTCACCAATCAACCAAAACAAAACCAAATCCCTTTTTAGTTCACTTAGGTCCAAAACTTAGGGATCAGTTCAATTATAATCACTTAGTTCCCATCACATACACACCACAACACCAAATAACTCAACCTGTCCAAAGGAAAAACCATCAATTCACGTCCTCGAGAATGAATATTCCAATATTTCGGGAAGGGCTGTGACAAAAAAGCAAACTTCACTCGAAATTCTATTGCATTTTCATCGAGTTGTGGTTATTGATGTAATTCCTCATAATATATGTATGCAGCCCCTTTATTCAAAGGAATTTCCATTTTTAGGTAAAAATGGGTATTAATAATAAGGCATATTTCACATCGAACTTCAACAATCCAAACCGTCTATTTTGTAAGTCTTGATTCATAGATTATTCTTGCAAAAATTCAATTTAATTCGAAATCATTTAACTATTTAATTATCATTATGAAATTCCTTGTTTCTCATAAAACAATGTATTCGTCAATTTCTTTGAACTCAATTATATATCTTAAAAAAAATTATTTGACTAATATTTTGTAAGAATGATTTATGAGATCCAACTTAAAAAATGAACTTAGATTATTGAAGTTTAAAGTAATATGGATCACATAACTAATTTTTATTTTAAATAAAGAATTAGAGATCTATTCCCTTGAAAACCTTCTATAGGTGTGTACGTGGTGTGGTGGACCTATGATCATACGCAGCCACAAGTTACCGGTCCGTCTCATTAAATTGCGAAACACCATGTTGTCCCCCCAGTCCAGAATATAATATACATATATGCATGCTTTGGCTCTTTACACACCTCACATTTTTACAACAAATCTGGGATATGTCTGTGCCCTAATGTATCAAGAAGAAAAAGGATCCTCACCGAATCCTTTTCTTAACGATCTTAGAAATTTTATCATCATGACTGTTCATCGTATATCGTGCAATTAGTTTTTATTAAATACTATTTATATTTAATTATAAATTATAAATTTTAAAATAATTTATGATCGCACGATATACGATGAACAATTACGATCACGGGATTCCTAAAAAAATGATCCAACGTGGATCCTTTTCCTATCAAGAAATCAATATTTACTATTTTTTTTTTCTTTTTAGGCTAATTACAATTTTTACTTTTTAAACGTGAGGCGTTTAAGTTTCAATTTTCTTGCATTATATTTGATATTATATTCATTTATACTTTATATCTGAATAAGTGTGTATTATTTCATTATATTGATGATTTCTTTATCAGTGTGTTACAAATGTGATTTAAATATGAATTCAATCAGTAGCGTGCTTATTATATCATTAATTTAATAAAAAATCAAATATTATTATTAAACTGTAGAAATAAATTAATACAGTTTCAATATTTAGAAAAATCACATCAAAAATGTAAAATGTGAAACGCAGTTAGCTTCTGTTTGTGTCTATTTCTAAACAAAGAAAGAAACCCATCATTCACTCAATCAAATATTATAATTAAGTTTGATCACTTCAAACAATTAAGCACATGTTAAAGAAGGGGAAAAAGGTAACAAAGATAAACAAATTGTAGCTTTCATTTTCATTCATATATTATATATGGGTTGGTTGTTTCTTGGACCACAAGTAAATGTAGTTTTCCAGTTGAAGAGAGGTTCGAGAGGAACATGAGCTTTTGATTCTCTTTGGAATTGGTCAATTTGTTAAATGATTTGATGGATGGAGTGGGACGTGTGGAGAAATCCTCTTTGTGAGGATCCTGAAAATTTTTCAATCACATTCGTTCATCGTATATCGTGCGATCAGAAATCATTGTAAATTTTTTCATTTAAAATTGAATATAAACTATACATAATGAAAATTGATCGCACGATATACAAAAAAACAGATGTGATTGGAAGATCTCCGAATCATCACAAAGAGGATCTGGCGAGGATCCTCTTTCGGACGTTTGTACCACTCTCGCTAGTGTTCTTCTTTCAAATTGTTTTTTTTTATTTTAAAATATTTGATGATGCCTTTTAATTATTTATATTCTTGATGATGTCATTCACGTATCATTCATTTGGATTCAATAATTTAAGGCTACGTTGCATGATTGCTTCCAAAATGACAAAAATAGTTTAGTGTTTTTGGGGAAGCACTTTGTCGACGCTTCTTTTTTCAAGCACTCATATTTTCAATAGAAATTTGGCCAGGTTTCTTATAAAGCATTTTATTAAAACCCGTTTAGGAGCAAAAGTAATTTTTACATAAACAGTCAAGAATAAATATCATTGACAATTTAAAATAAGTGAATGAGACGTTCTGAACTTGAAGTCTCTACATAGCATGAAGAAGAAAAATACTACTAGATTGATATCCACTCTGTAAATCTTTGCAAATCCTTGTGGACTAAGTGATGTAGAAGGCTGATTTTATCTGGAAACAAAATAAATTTAGAACCCAACGTCGATAGTAACATAGTATAATAATTTGGAACGGTAAAAGGTAACTGTTTCATTGAGAATGAGCCTTAGGAAATGGACAAGTACGACATGGAGACACCACCACGTTAATGTGCTATGCTAATAGCACAAGTTGGCATTTGACACCACTATAGTAATGTATCCGTATCATACAAATTGCTCTCACGAGAACTGCCCCCTCCCTGACAGAGGCCTCTTTCTTATTTGAAGTCTGCTATTAACTTAAGCCCAAAGCCAGCCATGCCCTGAATACACAAGCACACTCTCTTAACCCCAACCAGATAGCAGCCATAGCCGATTCACCCCTATCCGTCAACCATGCCGGGTATCTTGACTTTTGACACATTCTTACCTAGATCCAAGTTGTAAGGGGGCTTTCACCGGAAACGGATGCCGGGAATTTCGAAGATCCCGTGATTGTGACGTTCATCGTACATCGTGCAGTCAATTTTCGTTAGATATTATTTATATATAATTTTAAATTTCAAATGATTTATGACCGTACGATATACGATAAACAACCACGATCATAGGATCCCCAAGAAAAGAATCCGACGAGGATCCTTTTCCGGCTTTGACATTGCCCTACTTCCACTTCAAAGATAGAAAAAAGAATATCAGAACAGCCTAAGGTAGTTGTCCATGCGCCTGGGTGACTATCAGTTGTATAGCTGCATGAACTCCCAACCATGAAGAGCTGACTGTCGCTAACGCACATGCGGACGACTATTGGAAATCGAAAAAGCAGGAATAGGAAGAAAAATTAAAAGTCTTATAACCATCTTAATTTTAAAAGAAAACTAATGAAAAGAACTTGAAAACTTTGAGTTTTAATGATAAGGACAAAATAAAGGGTAAAGTGAATAGTACCTGAATTAACTTTTTAGTGAAAAAATGTGGTTTTTCATTAAAATGAACAATACCGGGTGCTTTTCGTTAAAGTTCACTAATTTTAAAGGAAAACTAATAAAATAATTTGAAAACTTTGAATTTTAAAGATAAGAACAAATAAAAGGTAAAGTAAATAATACAATATTAACTTTTTAGTGTAAAAATATGATTTTTCGTTAAAATAAACAGTATCAGAAACTTTGAATTAAAGTTCCCTAATTCTAAACCACAAAGTTAGAAACAGTTCATATAACGGTTACCCACTTGATTTAGTTCAAACTTCCCCTTTCTTTTAAGGTAGAAAACACAATATTACGACACAATTTAATAGTTTTAACATTTCACTCGTATGAATATTACACTTAATAAAAAACTAAAAAGCGTTTACCCTACATTCGAGGTCGTGTTTGAATCTCTCCTCTCCCAATATCAATGGCATAAACAAGACAAGTAGCTGTTCTTTGCACAAAAAGGAAAAGAAAAATCAAACCAAAAGGCATGATATGGACACGCTTTCATTTCATTTCATTTCACTACAACAATTACAACCAAAGATCATAAACCATCAAGCAGCATGCGGGATGCATCAAATTACACTTGGATTGCAAATTTGCAATGCAAAACACCAATACATATCAAGAGACACCAGACACCAAGACGAATTAAGTTTTGAGCCCTCAGACCTCATCAACAACAAAATTTTCATAAACAGTGATCACTAAAGGCCAGGCAACATTTACGGACACCATCAGATCATCACCAGAAATATTATTTATAATAAAGAGGAGGAGGAGGAGGAGGAGGAGGAGCAACAGCAGCAGCAGCCGCAGTTAAATGTCGATGATCAGTCCGGCGCAATAAACGGCGGCTTAAAGTGAAACACTGCTTCACAAAATGAGATTCCATCATAGGGCTTATTGAAAAGCCGACCATATATGAGATTCCATCACAGTACGATACACTTACATTGCAATGTGAAAACCAAACAGAGGTTGAAAACAGAGTCGCCGTCTCCACCCAACGAAAGAGGTAATCACTCATACGATGCAGCCACAACCGCAACAGAAAAGAAAACTCTCAAGCCCCGTAATCACACATTCTATTAAAAGAAATCGAACCGAAATAACCTGAAATCCAAAACATACAATTCAAGGGCCAAAAGGAAACTTGAACCCAGAAAAGAAGATTAGTAATGCATGCGGAAGAGGAAGGCAAGAATTAGCAAATAGTTTGGAGTAAACTCTGTCCCTATCTGTATTCAAACTAAATTATTAATATTTACATCAACAGATCATTAATAAACAGATTACCACACATTTAAATTATACTGGAGATTCATTTGCCTTTCATTGAATAATAAAACCTAATGATATTTTGAGCCCTCAGACCACTACTAAAACTTCATAAACAGTAATCACTGAAAGCCAGTCACCATTTACGAACACCACCGGATCATCACCAGAAATAATAATAATAATAATAATAACAACAATAGAAGAAGAAGAAGAAGAAGAAGGAGCCGGCAAATGGCGATGATCAGCGTGGCACAGTAAATGGCGGCTTAAAGTGAAGCACTGCTTCACAAAATGAGATTTCATCATTGGGCTTATTAACAAAGAGTGACTAAAAGCATCATTAAAAAGCCACCCATGTATGATCAAGACAAGTATAGCATCTTGTAAAGGACATCAGTCTTTAAAACTAACATGTTCTTGACGAATTCCTCCCTCATAACGGCACCAATTCCAGAAAACAGCTTTACTCATATAAAGGTATCAAGAATCATGAAAATGTGTGGTGCACATGGAGAAAAATACATTAGCAATATAATACAACAACAGAGTCTTGTCCCACTAGATGGGGTCGGCTATATGAATCCTAGAATACCATTGCGCTCAGTTCTGTGTCATGTCCTCCGTTAAATCCAAGTACAGTCTTTTCTTAGAGTCTCTTCCAAAATTTTCCTAGGTCTTCCTTTACCCCTTCGGCCCTAAACCTCTATCCCATGGTAGGTAAAAACAATCATTTACACAACACCACTTGGGTAGTAAAAGTAAACAAAAGATAGCCCTCAGTCCTTATCATATCCTGAATTTATAGTTAAGGATGTTGAGCTTTGATTTTCATTTACAATCTCTCCACATCTTATAAGACAGCAGCAGCAGCAGCAGCAACAACAACAACAACGACAACACCACCACCACCACCACCACCACCACCATAAAGAGCAGATGGCTACTATTGACGATAGAAATATAGGAGGTGGAGATGCTCATAATGAAAATCAAAAGCATACCCAGAACAGGAGTCTGCATCATTGGGCAAAGGTGTAAGCCTATACTGCAGCATATATGCAAAAACCACTGCTTCATAGTTTTGCATTTGTTGCACCAACCAAGCGAAAAAAAAACAAAGCCACATATACACTTAGACTTAAAGATAACCATATTACAGACACCATAACTATATTCAGTTGATCGAGGCCTCATAAAATTTGTTGAATTAACATTGCAAGGGCACCTTTGAGAGGAATGGACTGTACGACTAAATGGGTAAAATATGTAACTATTGAGAATGTATAAATCAATACAACACAACTATAGCAATAAATTCAAATACCATGTTAATGAGTGTCTCTGCAGAAACACCTTGAAAATATGTATCTAGTCATCACGGTCACAAGCTCGATTATAAACCTCAACAGATCTTCAATCGTACAAGCAAGAATTAAAAAAAGAAAGAAAAAGAAGAGTAATTTAGCATGTGGCTTTGTAAACTTAGAACACAATAAACATTACACAGATTTGTGCGTACTAAATCTATAAGCATACAAAAGAATCTACAATAACTGCTTTCTTGGATAAAAGAGGAATCTAAGAAAGAAATCTATAAGCATACAAAAGAATCTACAATACCATGCCTACCACTCTTAACGTTTTGAATTTTCCATCAATAAGCATCATATTTGAACCAGAAGATAAAGTTAATAAAAAATCTATAACCATCTTTCAACTAAAACAATCTACAACAATAGTTTCCAGACAATGGTTTATTACCTTTATATGAAACAATCTACAAGCGGTTTGACTCCAGAGGGAGCTGGCCTTATATACAAAAATACTGCAATTCCGAAAGTGCTCTTTGGTTTTCTATTAACAGAAAATTTGAAATCAATACAAAAGTAACAGTGCATTTATGGTAATCACAATACTGCAATGCCCAAAGTGCTATTCAGTTAAACCAAAGATAATGTCTAGAATACTGCAATGACCAGAAAAGGAAATGTCTATTGAAATAACTAAAGGAACAAAAATAATTTAAAATTCAACAAGCATATCTTAAGAATAAAAAAGGCAAAAAACTGAAGAGCCTTCAGATCTCATAGCTATATCTGGTCATTGCCAGTTAACTGTGGATTATCACTATGAACCTCTTCACATCTTCAACCATACAAGCAAGAGAGGGAGAGGGAGAGAGGGAGAGAGGGAAAGAGGGAAAGAGGGAGAGAGGAGAGGGAGAGGGAGGGAGAGGGAGAGGGAGAGGGAGAGAGAGAGAGAGAGAGAGAGAGAGAGAGAGGATGGTGGTGTTGATGGTGACAGCAACTAGTACAGGAAAATGATAGAAAAGGCTCCTAATAACAATCCACATAACCGCTCCATAAATGAGTTTTCCATCATTAGGCAAATAAAAACTGAACCACCTTTCAGAAGCAGCAAAAAAGCTATATCAAAGAACATGGTAATGACCCAAAATAATTCAAGAAAAAGAAAGACTATAGACAGAGTATAACTCATTAGCACAACATCACTAATTCAGGGGTCATAAATAACTTGACCAGTAATTTCCATTGCGACACAATAAGTTAATTGAATGATGACAACAATAACATGAAATATACCCCAAAGTAGAATTACTCCAGGGATCATAAATAGCATTCTAGGCTGCATTTCCATCGACAATTGCAATCCCAAACTGCCCAGAGACCACTGCAGGTACCATCATTCCCCACAATCACATAACAGTTATAACCCAACCCCAACTGCCAATTAAACAAGCACTCCACTCAGAACTATGCCATTATAAACTTCTAGCACAAATGAAAATAAACCATCATCAAAACAACTTAATATCAAAGGCCTATCACCCAGTCAAGAAAAATACAGGTTTTTATGAAACAACAGTTTGAAACAAGAACAGAACAGACAATCAGCCCATATAAAAATCATAATTATGAAAGAAACAAAATTTGGGGCCCAAACGCACATGTGGGGTCAAAGTAACTTGCGGCGCAAAATTTGGACTGCAAGGAGGGATATATCCCCAAATAGGTAATTGAAAATAGTGAGTTCTATGAAAATGCCCTCAGATCACATAGCAATAAGTCATTTCCAGTTCATGGGCAATGGCGTTCCTCAAAAGCCTTCATACTCCACAATGCAGCACCAACGTATGTGTGTGTATGTATGTATGTATATATATTAGAGAGAGAGAGAGAGAGAGAGAGAGAGAGAGAGAGGTGGTGCTTGTGGTTAGTACGGGATAATGAAGAATCAACCACCCTTACCACTATTTAGGTTTTCAACTTTCCATCACTGGGCATCATATTTGAACCAGAAGATAAAGTTAATCAAAATGTATAACCATCTTTCAACAAAAACAATCTACAATAATAGCTTTGTAGGAAATAAAAGCACTCAGTAACAATGAAAGAGTGAATTTTTTTCCAAACGACAGTTTATTAGCTTTATATGTAACAATGTACAAGCAGGTTTGAGTCTGAAGGGAGCTCGCATTATATACAAAAATACTGCAATGCCGAAAGTGCTCTTTGGTTTTCTATTAACAGAAAATTTGAAATCAATACAAAAGTAACAGTACATTTATAGTAATCAAATACTGCAATGCCAAAAGTGCTCCAGTTAAACTAAAATAATGTCTACAATGCTGCAATGACCTATATAAATAACTAAGGGAACAAAAATAATTTAAAATTCAACAAGCATATCTTAAATAAAAAAAGGCAAAAAACTGAAGAGCCTTCAGATCTCATAGCTATATCTGGTCATTGCTAGTTAACTGTGGATTATCACTATGAACCTCTTCACATCTTCAACCATACAAGCCAGAGAGGGAGAGAGAAGAGAGAGAGAAGAGAGAGAGAGAGAGAGAGAGAGAGAAGAATGGTGGTGTTGATGATGACGGCGACTAGTATAGGAAAATGATAGAAAAGGCTCCTAATAACAATCCACAGAACCGCTCCATAAATGAGTTTTCCATCATTAGGCAAATAAACCTTTCAGAAGCAGCAAAAAAACTATATCAGAGAACATGGTAATGATCCAAAATAATTCAAGAAAAAGAAAGGCTAGATACAGAGTATAACTCATCATTAGCACAACATTACTACACCAAAGGCTCGTGCTCTAACCTTGAAAAATAACTTGACAAGCATCACTACTTCAAAGGTTCGTGCCCTCAGATCTCACACCTTTGAACGAGTCATATACAGTTCACGGCTAGTGGCGTTCCTCAAAAGCCTTCGTACTCCACCATGCACCACCAACGTATGTATGTGTGAATGTATGTATATATTTATATGTATGAGAGACAGAGATAACGGAAGACTTGGCACAAAACCCAGCGTAATGGCGTTCAATGATTCATCCAGCCAATCCCACGTATAGTGGGATAAGGCTTGGTTGTTGTTTGTTGTAGTGAGAGAGAGAGGTGGTGCTTGTGGTAAGTACGGGCTAATGAAAAATCAACCACGCTTACCACTGTTTAGGTTTTCAATTCTCCCATCACTGGGCATCATATTTGAACCAGAAGATAAAGTAAATCAAAAATCTATAACCATCTTCTAACCAAAACAATCTCCAATAATCGTTTTATAGGGGTAAAATACCGCAACGCCAAAAGTGCTCTTCGGTTTTCTATTAACAGAAAACTTCAGATCAATACAATAGTAAGAATACATATACAGAAATCATTAACGAAACAAAATGGGTTTGAACATGTGCAAAGAAAGCCTACTTACGCTCCGGTTCGAAGATGTGACTACTTACGCTCCGGTTCGAAGATGTGACTACGGGATAGAGGTTCAGGGCAAAGGGGTAGAGGAAGACCTAGGAAAACTTTGGAAGAAACCCTAAGAAAAAACTTAGAGTACTTGGATCTAACGGAGGACATGACACAAAACCGAGCGCAATGACGTTATAAGATTCATATAGCCGACCCCATTTAATGGAAAAAAGTTTTGTTGTTGTTGTTGTATTAACGAAACAAAACAACTGAAAATTCAATACACATCTGTTAGGGAAAAGAAAATGCCTGTAAACAAGCCTTCAGATCTCATAGCTATATCTGGTCATAGACAGTTATCTGCGGGATTATCACCATGAGCCTTTTCACATCTTCAACTGTACAAGCCATAAAGACAGAGAGAGAGAGAGAGAGAAAGAGAGAGAGAGAGAGAGAGAGAGAAAGAGAGAGAGAGAGAGAGAGAGAGAGAGAGAGAGAGAGAGACAGAGAGAGAGAGACTAGTACAGCAAAAATGATACAAAAAGCTCGTAAAAAAAACCCGCGTAACCGCTCAGAAAATGAGTTTTCCATCATCAGGCATCCAAAAATTAGAACAGAAATATCATTACTGCAAAATCCCAAATCAGCAACCTACAATGACAACTCCACCATTCATTTGCATTGCAATGGAGATTAGTAGAATGCATGATAACAAGAACAATAGTTAACAGAAAATCTACCCAAAAACACAATTTAAATTTCATGCATTTAGATATAATACACCTTAAACAATCCAAACTAGCAGTACCAAAAACAGTAATTTCTGAGCAACCATTGAAAGCGATTTTGAACTGCTCAGAGCCCAGTGCATGTACCATCATTCCCCCACAAATCCCATTTAACATCAAACGCCAAACAAAAAGCATAACTATCAAAGACACGAAATTTAGGGTTAATTCTACAAATTGGGAATTTCTGAAAGAAAAAATCGGAACTATGAAAGGAAGGAAATTTGGGGGTAATTCTACATTGGTAAATTAGGGCAAATCCCCAAATCGGTGATTTAGGGCTAAACAGAGAGGCCGAGCGGGTGTGGGCGAGAAAGATGCGGCGACTGAAACTACGTGAGAGTGGGAAGGGAGAGTGTAGGGCTTGCAGATTTATATACACGAAGATTCAATGTGGGAAGGACTATAGTAAGACTTGAGGTCACCCAACAGATGGCGCCATAAGGTTGGTTACTTTGAGCCGCCCAGAACAGATGGCGCCATTGTGAAACTAACCCCAAACTTTGAGAATGATGACTGAGCCCTAGTATTTATTAGGGGTGGTTTGGTGTGGGATACAGAACCAAAACCTTAGTTCCAATTTCCAAACCAAAATGATCGGTATACCCAATTTTAAGACTGATCTGAAACCAAAATTTCAGGAATCCTAATTTTTGGGAATCTCGAAATATTTTTGGGCTTTTGGTGATTCTGTATTCCCAAATCTCATAGCTGTTTTATTTTCACTGAAATAATCAGTAAATACTTCAAACATTATTGTGCTTCTTGTTTTCCTTCGTTTCATGATTGTTCTTCCAAGTTTCAACTTCATACTCCTGATGAGTTACCTGGCATGAAGTTGAGGAGGTAGAAGGAATAATGCATGAATTGATCAAACGATATCGGTAGGCAACATTAAACTCTTAAATAACCACCAGTGCAACCGCGGATAAGTTTTATATGATATCTTCTTTTTTAATACTGAGATGCATTTATAAGTTTATAACCTATAGAACATAGTTGTTTTACCATTTAATAATACACTAGAAGGCAAACCTATTACATAAGTTGTATACCTTTTTGTGATTATGTGGAATACACATTACACTTCTGGTGTTTACGTTCTCTACTTTCTTCAACAACTTTGACACTGGTGTTTGTGTTACTTCCAGTAAAGGTGACTCCTATCTTCGATGAAATAGAATGACACATAACACATATCATAATCCTTCATATCTTTATGTTGCAGGGATGAAAAATAAAGTAACATGATTTTTTCATTATTGTGCCACACATGATTTATATATATTATTATCTCTGTGTGTGTGTGTATATATATATATATACAATAATTAAAAATATATATTTCGGTTTGGTATGGGAATACTGAAATATTGGGAAGACAATCCTGATTCCCATACCAAAATTTCAGTATTTTTTCGGGATAGCATACCGAAAATTTTAGGAAAATCAGTTTGGGACATTTTTGGTTTGGGATCGGTATTTTTTCGGTTTGGTTCGGGATTTTTGGGAATTTTTTCCACCCCTAGTATTTATACCTTATTTCATAGCCCTTGTTGTATTGCGTTGCTATCCACACGCTATTCTTCTTTTACATCTTCCACATACTTGTTAAGTTCTATCGTTTAATTATCTTCAATTCATCTAATCAGATGATCAACAAATTAGAAAATTTAGAAATATGTAAAAGTGAAAATGACTCTTTTGACATTTAAATGAGATGATCAAATTTTAACATTTAGTTACAGAAATGATCAATTATTTGTCTCAACTTTGTCATTTAAACTCTATCTACTCCTGCTTTTCTCTCTCGCAGGATCCCCCCAAATTCCCAGCCTTCGCCGCCGACTCCTTCTTCTAGTTGGAGTCGGCCGACTTTCCCTTGTTGCTCCCCTTTTCTTCTCCCATCTAGCCCATTTCCCTCGCCATTTGGTCATCCTCCTTTCCCCTCCACCCTTTTCTCTCCTGCTGCAACCCAACTTACTACCCATACCCTCAAGTCCTCACTCTTCCCCGATCACGCATTCCCTCCTCTGTTTTTTTTTTCATGCGGTGCTTTTTTCTGCTTTCATTTTGGCTTTCTTTGAGCTTTGTCTTAGTTCGTTTGAGCTTTATCTCAATTCTCTGAGCTTGTCTCAGATCGGAATCTGTAGACACCTTCCTGTTCCGATGTTTTCTTCCGTCGTGAGTACACAACTACCAACGCCTGCTTCTCAAGCCCGAGTGCTTCTCCTCGGTGACATGCTTGGATTTTGGGTGGCTGTTAAAGTGCTTTTGCACTATTTGGTAGGATTATGGGAGCGTTCACAGCGCTGGTGGCTCTGATGCGAAAATTAACTTAACACACAAATTAAACCCTCTTGTTGTCAAATTGTAGTATAAATGCAAGTAGGGATCGTTCTAAACCGGGGATTAGGAGGGCTTGCTAAAACCTCTAAACTGACTTAAAAACATATAAACAAAGTTAAAAACACTAAACTAGACTCAAAGAACTTAAAACAAACACAAAGGACTCAAAACAAGCTAAAAACGCTCAAATCTGCCAAAAAACACAAACTTGGCAGATTTGGACTCTAACACACTTTTGGGACACCTAAAAACACAAATCAAAACAGATTTTGACTAATAAAACACTTTAAAGTAAAGGGGGTTTTGGTTTTGACGAATTTGAAAACAAAACAAGTAAATTAAAGAACTAATGAAATCTACAGGAATTTGAGTAAATTGAATGGATGGAAGGCTAGCTAAGAGATTCTTCTCCACACATGACATACTTGCACATAAACCAATTTTCAGTTGTTCTTTCGATAAATCATGAAACTCAACACCCCAGGTTAATTAAGTCCGCTTAAATTAACCTTCAAGTTCTCCTTAAGTTATTGAATTGGATGGGAAAGCGCATACAACAATTCAAGCAAGCATTCTTCAAAAGTTCTTTACGTGAACAGCACAATAAAGATACAATCAAAGATCATTAAGCATTATGAAAACTATAAGTATTGACGAGGCATTCGTTACTATGATGAGCATGAAACTCCTGCCAAGAATTTATTTAACGCGATCGTTTATAAGCGACCTCCACTACTTGTGAATATAAGTTTGTAACTATTAGGTGAAACTCCCTTATACTCTAGCATCATATTCATGCATGCAAACTAAGTGTGCACTCTTAATAAACATACACGAATAAGTTATCAATCAAGCAGTTAAACAAATTGAATTCACAACTTATGAAATCACAACTGAAGGTAATCAAATCATATTGCAAGCATGAACATGGTTTCGAATTCCCCCTAGTTAAAGGGGGTTTAGTTCCTCATACTCACAAAGCAAAGATAAACAAATTTAGACATTGAAAACAAAAAAATGAAAACACCTAAAAACGTTCCAACAATCCAACTTGAATGACAAGCACGTCCAAGGATCCTCATTCTTCTCTTTGTTGCGGCACAAGGTGTGGTTTGATGGACGAGTGGTAAATTATGGTGGTGGATGGATATAGGTGAGTTATGGTGAATGGTGGATGGGTGGATTGTGTTCTCCCGTCCAAGGAATGAAAGTGTAAGTGTA